TTCTGATCCCTCAGATGAAGGCAACATACTTTGGAAGGCTTCCTCCAATCTTGCTACAAAATCCTCATATGGTTCTTTGTGTTTTTGTCTAATTCCAGAAAGAACAGTGGTTGTACCTCCTGCTCCTGGAAGCTTTCTCCAGGCTGCTACTGCCAATTTAGAAATTTCTTCCAATACTGTTTTTGGTATACTAATACTCAAACTGATAAGAAAAGGCCCTTATTCTTTGACTGAGAATGCCCCATGATTGTTATCAGTTACCTTCTCGTTTTCTTAACCTGGTCATCCTTTACCAGTGGGCCTGCAGCGCCCTGACGAGGTCCTATCCTTGCCTGAAATTATTAAAAAGAGAGAAAAGGGGAGAGATAGCTTGCCCTCTGGGTCCCTAGTTCGAGCGCCACCTGCGACGGACCAGCCCAGACTGGGGCAGTTCAGTCCAACGGGAACAGGGTCGTCGAGAGGGTGGACAAGGAGTCGGCGAGTGACAAACAGACTGCTGTTTTAAAACAAAATGCAAGGTTGAAGGTGGTGGTGCAGGCCTGTAAAACCAGCATTTGCGAGGCTGAGGCAGGAGGATATTGAATTTGGTGATCTCCAGACAATCTTCGGCTACAGAGCAAGATGCTGTCTTAATAACAACAGCAATAATCAATATCTAGAGACTTATTTGCGATGGACCAGCCCAGACCGGGGCAGTTCAGTCCGATGGGAACAGGGTCGTAGAGAGGGTGGACAAGGAGTCGGCGAGTGACAAACAGACACAAAGGAGCTTGATGAAAGTTGAGTGTAATTTTTGCAGTTGCAAGGTTTGAGTCATGCTAAGATTTACAATTCCAGAGATGAAAATAAAATAATTTTGCCAACACATTTCCTTAGCTTATCAACTTGATACTAGACAGTAAATTCCTGCTTTACTGTGGCTTTTTACTGCCAGCCTTTCTCACTCACTTAGGATTCTGCTCAGCTTTGTAGTCCCAAGTCAGAATGACCTTAACCCATTAAGCACGTTCAACACCAGCTGTGCCTGATATTACTTTTTAACTATTTGATAATATTCCTTGCTTATTTGTAGTGGGCCATAGGGCTTCTAAGTTATTTTTAACTCTATAGGTCCCAAAAAGGCTATTTCATGCTAGGGATCCGTGAAACCATACTTTTCTCTTATCCTACCAATTTTTAAATACTTTCTATATTTGCTCTTTAATGCTCTCTTATTGATTGTTTATCAAAAGACACCAAGGTGGTCTTGATCTTACCGATTTATCCATGAATTGTAATGAATAACAAGAAACCCTTCTTCTATCTATATTTATCCATCTATATTTTTCTCCTAGAAATCCATTATTCCCTGGACTATCCAGCATTAATTCTGCTTAATTACTTCTCACTATATCTAAAATATCTTTCATTAAAATATCTTTCGATAATAGTGGTGCATCTGAAGTACTATGATTAAAGGATTTCAATAAAGGCGGTGATAGCAGTGCCAAGGACACCAGGTGCTTTCCGGGCCCCCAGAAAGCCCAAGATACAGTGACAGTTAGAAAAATAATAGCAAGTAAAAGCGTGCCAAGGACACTGCATGTTTCTCAGCACAACCAATTCCAAGAGGCAACCTTCCTTGAAGTTCCAGCCTCAACCCACAGAGGATCTCACGTGGGCTCCACTGGAGATGGCGTGACACTTATTCCATTTTTTTTTCTCACACTGACAAAGAACACAGTCACTGAACTTCCACAGCAACAATTTTCTTTTCAGGATTCATTTCTACTAATGCTTTTCTGGAAGTAAAATGTGTGCTGTGCTCTTCCTCATGCTGAATTTTTTATAATTCTAAACTTACTTATCCCGCTTTTTT